AATTCAGCGCTCATTTTGCTATCGATTGTGTCCATGGATTCAGTGCTTAAGACTAATGATAATCAACTGATCCGTCAATTCCTGTGGCTTTTGTTTGAACAGTAATTTAATTGCCATTCAATTCAATACTAATTCATTGCGTTTGTTGTCGACTCCACTAACATATAACGTAACCAAACATTTCAGACCCCTATTGGGTATCAAATATAGTTCAGAATCTTTCAATTGATTCCAACAGTACTACAAGTTGTATGTACTCTATGTGGTCATCAAATTATGATTTAGATAAAGTGTCCAGTTCATACAATTCTGCCTATACATGCTTACAAGCTACCTTAGCGATTTTAGTACTTCTATGACAAATTTTATTTAATTTCAGACAAACACGTCTTTCACCTTACATTATCACATGTTAGCAGGTTAAAATATAATATATTATATATTATATAACTGTAACAGTAAAATACTATTATTATATCTACTAATATTAAATTTAAAATAAAATATTATTAAAGAAAATATATGTACCGGTAATTTCCCGAATGATATGACACCTAGATCAATTTTTCAATTTTGGATAAATAGAATTTTCTAAAGGAATGAAGTAAGTTATCCATAGATACTATTTCTTATATAATCTACAATTGAAATTCTTAGAATTTAATTCATTAAATCATTATCAATGATTATTATTGTTACCAAGTTGAACTCAATACAGATAAGCTATATTTTAAACTATTACAGCATATACGGTAGAAAGTACATTTTAATTTAAACTTGACACCAAACTTATTATACTTTATCAACCCTAATAACCACAAACACATGTATCAGTAAAAAAATAATACTAATGATGAAAATTTTAAAAATAAATAACAATTAATTTATATACAATTTAACTTTTTAATAAGGCAAGTAAGATCTATGATAATTATTCGCAAGCAATGAATACCCTGCACTCCTATACAATGGTAACATTGTTTGTGAATGTGGTGTGATTTGAGTGCAAAGTATTTATCATATGAATTGTGTTGACAACTGAGATGTTGATGAATGCATGAATACATGAATATTACATGAATTGTTGTGTTAATTGAGACACGAAGACATGACATGATGTGATCAATGGATGACCGACTGAATGGATGAGTGATTAAACTAAACTGCAATCAATAGTCAGATCCCCAGCGGCGGCAATGTTGACATCATTTTCGGTCACTTCTGCGAGTCGTCTCTTAATTGGTATTCAAATGGTATGAATCGTACAGAAATTGATGACTAATTGTATGGTTTGTGTGAACAGCTGTTGTCATTGTATGGCTTTTGATAATATTTGTGATAACGGGTCCACTGATCGGATGGTCACACAGTCGTGAGGATGGTATGGCTAACGGCGACTCCAATGGCAACG